GATCATGTTTCACATTTTATTGTCACATACTGGCGCTGGTCTTGGTCTTGACTCGGTCTCGGACCCTTAAAGTCTCGGTCTTGTCTCGGTCTCGATACACTCTGGTCTTGGTCTTGTCTTGGTCTCGGGTTAGGTGGTCTTGACCACAACACTGTCAACAATTCATTCTTCATTCTCTCTCAGTCTTTTCTCCTCTTTTCAGGACAGTAAATAAAAAGTTTTAGCTTGTGCAGGGAAGCATCATACTGACAGCTTCTTTATTGTTTGCACAGTTTGCTTCACACCAAGCTGCTTCCCTCCTTGTACCCTGTCTTTGCTCTTTCTTCTCCCATGCCCACACATGGGAAGAGCTCTCCGGCTAATTAGAGACTTTGCCAGCGGAATTCCAAAGGACAAAAGAAGCCATTCAGGTTGGGATGATGGTGAAAAGGCTTCGCTGGCAGAGACTTCTCTTTGAAACTCACCCTCTTGTAAAAACACCCAAGCTCTTGACTTAAATGAGCAGCTCTGCTCCTGTTTTTTTTATTTTTTCCAGCTCATCAACGTTCGCCCTACACTGTAAAAAGGATGGATTAGACTTGACTTCTGTCACACACTCCCATCACACAGTTGTGACTATTCAGTCCTGTCCCGCTGTCTACATGGAGTTGATCTACCGTCTCTGTTGTTCATCTGACCCGTATTCTTCAAAGCATTTGTGCTGTCTAACTGCTCTCTGCTGTGAGCTGATAGAAATCCCTTTTCACCTTGTCACAGTTCATCCACCTGTCGGCTGCATCTGCAGCTCCAGGAACCCTTTGAGTAAACTGATCCAGTGACCCTCAGCCTCATCAATTAGACAAATTAGTCTCGTTTAGTGGCTCTCGCTCTTCCTCTCACTTCCAGCTTTCGAATTATCCACCCGTCTGGCATTTCCTCAGGAACATTGATTGCTTGGTCCCACTCTTGGTTGTTTTCCTCTAATAAAAACCTCCGAATTGATGCATTAGGAATGGGAAGGTTATGGATTCATTCTTTCAGTTACCTGAATTACTATACAGCAGTTTATTGTTGCCCATGGCTCAAAAAGAGCCTTTTCTCCCCCAATACATGTGTGATTGTGCATTATGACCCAAAGACGCTCACTTGCCCTCATATGTTCCTTCATCTTACTGATACAAACG